TTTGAAAAAATGATATTTTTGTAAAAATTTCAAAAGTGTGACATTTTTGTAAAATAACACTTAAAAAATGCCATTTTAAAAAATTTTCAATAATATTTGGGGCAGAATTTGGAGTAGGGTTGGAGATATCCTTACATCATCGCTACAAATTAAATTATTTGAGCTTAGCAAGAAAAACAAGAACTGAAAGTTGCAGACAAGTATAAAAGTGACATGCGACAAAGTGTGCGAGCAGCTCGAGATCCCACATTTGTTCATCTCTTGTTTGGTTCTACTTCTAACTCTATCCTTCTTTACTCTTGTTTCCAATCAAAACCTTGTACAGATATTTGACAAAAACTACCCATCTTTTCCTTTTTTTCTATTTTGCGACCCATAATTTTCGATTTCACCTTTCTATTATTTTCCCTTTCCTATCTAAACACTCAACTTTAGAATATACAAATAATTGCATTCCGTAGTTTCAACTTTATAGAAATTTCAATAGTTATATATATGCGATTTATTCTAGTACTAAATTCTGATTAAATTTCTGAATCTTGTAGAATGTAGAGTCAAGACAATTTTAAATCAGAACCGGACTCAACTACAGTGTAATGACACACACCTTCTTTATAAATAAAACAAACTCTAGCTAGCTAGGACTCTCCAAATGATTAAGGACTGCATCTGCATGCAGTCAATTCTGGTACGTTTCCTACAAACACCCACACACACATATATATATATATATGATTCCGTCTAATACAATCAATGCAATTGATGTTGTACACTCCTTCAACCTGATTGCAATCAGTTTCGAAATGTGATACATAGAAAGACACTTTCTTTTTCACCCGAAAAAAATACTAATATTTAAAGAAACTAATTTAAAGTAGGTTATTTATGCGAATTTATAATCTCCCTTTCTCTCCTTAAACCCGGTGAATCCCTAGGTTTGTTCTCCCATTTTTCCCCAGAGAACAAAGGAGATGCCAATGAGGATCACGAACGCCCCAATGATCCTGGTTCAGGAAGTAAATATAAAGCAGCAAAAGATGACCAAGAACGCAACGATTATGAATTATAATATATAGTGATTGTTTGAAAGTCGCTCGCTTACCTCCCCACAAACATTTGCTCGGCCAGTACGATTGAGCTAATGATCGCCGTGGCAATCAGATTGACCGGGTTGAAGATGCTCACGAAGACCGGGCCTTTCTTCTTAGCCATCCACCCAACCGCGTAAACCGTCACAGCTGAGAAACATCCCTGCATATAATAGAGGTTTAGACGTGAGTTCAATGCGAAAAATGTATAATAAACTAATCAAAAATTTCCTAGATTAAAAAAAAAAAAAACTTTCCTAGATTAAACTCAAACTTACCCCATATAGAGATGCTAACATGGTTGTATACGGCCGGATTTTCCAGGCTTTAGGGTTGTTTCTCTCCCATATTAGAGCTGTGACCGTAGATCCAATTGTCCCCATGATGCAGATGAGAGCGGTAATTAAGGGACAACCTTGCCGGATACGACACTGCTACCTTGGCCTGCAAGAAACATCACATGGATTATACTAATTGGTAAACTAAAGTATTTAAACAAAACTTGCAATCTTAAGTTCTTTTACCTGTATCATCATATAAAATGACCAGCTCAAGCAGCTGGACACAAGCATTAACCCTCCTCGAATGATGTCTTCATTCTTGTGAATCTTTTTGCCAGAGTGCACCTCGCTTGTCCAAGGCAACGGAATTCCATGTCCTCTCCAAAACGTCATCATCATTGCTCACCAACCGCCACACACGTTCCAAGTATCTTTGCTTTTCCACGGTGGCTGTGAATTGCCAGTTTTTCCAGCCTGGAGAAAACAGACAAACAACAGGGTAAATCATAAATGTATTATGTGTATATATGAACACAAATAATTTGATGATTGTTCCCAATTTCCCACACTAGAAGAAATAAGATTACCTGAAAATGCATGCCATGACAAATGTGATGGCTGGGAGTAGATTAAACATCCCAGAAGTGAAAGTGGGAGTGGTGAGCTGCATCCCTGTGTAGTACAAGTTTTGTTCCAACAGTGGTCTGTACGTACGTGTATATATATAATGATTAGAAAAGACTAATTAATGATGATGATTGTAATGATTTGTATAAGAAATTAATCAGTGTAACTTACTCGAATAATTTGAGTTTTACGTACCTTTCGAATTTGAGAGCAAGTGGTGTAAGTATTGCGTCATAAGTATTGCAGACGCAATTACCAGTCGCTCAGCCACAAGAACCCTTGGAGTGATCAAGTTGGAATCAAGCGCAAATTTCGCGATTACAGCCATTACTGATAATCCGACTTGGAGACATAGTGCAACAACTGTTGGGAGTAGGTTAAACATCGCAAAAGTGAAATTTGGCGTGGTGAGTAGATAAGGATGCAAGATTATATAAGTTGAGTTTTACCTTTCAAAAATATGAGAGAAAAAGTTGTAAGTATCGCAGATGCAATGGCCCGTCACTCAGCCACAAGTATGGTAGGAGTTATCAGGTTAGAATTAAGGGCGAATTTTGCAATTACTGACATAACTAATAATCCAACGTGAAGAGATACTTCAACAACTATGGCAAGGAATTATGAATTCATGGCATACGGGTAATAGGTTAGGTATAGTTCAAGTTTTTATGATCTAATAAGTGATTTGAGAGTGGTATTACAACAATCAATGCTCACAGCTTGACTGCAGTACTATA